AACAATTCCATTAACAAATCTTAATATTGTCCAAATAACAAGATCAAATTTCTTAACCAAAACATAAAGTGATTATCATCTTATTCCATAAAACCATATAAGCTTCCAATTAAGCTATTGCTAAATTTTTGCCAATTTATTCTAACGATTTCTCAATCCCCATGTAAAACTTGATGCTCATACTTCTTCACTTGAAATAAGATGAAATTTGCAAATGTGAGTTTAAGAACTCCTTAAGTAGTATACCCATCCATCACAACCAAGTATAAAAATTTAAAATTGAATTTTATTGAAAATGAAACGATAAAAGTATATATTTTTTTCTCAAAACTAGAATATTTCATTTTTCATCCCTTATGGCTGTGTAACAATTCACGATCCACGATCAATGATACTCAATCATCAATCCACAATACACACTCCATAGTCCACAATACACAATCCATAATACACAATCCATAATTCACAATCCATAGATCCCAAGTCTATCATAATACCAACAACTCAACCTTCACATGGGTTAATCATATAGCTAGGACAAACAAAAGAAATCATTCCAAAAATAACCACTTCAATAATATTGGAGAAAAACAAATTTAAATTAGCCACCTCCACATAGTCACAATCTCATCTCAAACTTAAATACAAATATTATGCTTGGTCCACAAATCATCTGATTCCATCATTAAAAACATTTTAGTAAAAATCATTCTCTAAGAAATAAATAAATAAATACGCAAATAGATAAATAAATCAAAATTGGACAAAACCCATTTAAATCTATCGATTTACTTCAAAAACACTGAAGGATATAGCTATTTACCTCAATAACTATCTTTCAATTGCAATTACCACATAACTATTTGAAACCTAAATAAACATCAAAGTAAACATAATTCAATCATTAAGTAAAAGTTTATCCTGTATTTATCAGGCACCTACAAGAAATTATTCCATAACCCATGCCACTAAGATACTCTTCTTCAAACCCGACCACTCCAACACCTACTTTTGAAAACTAACCACCCAAATAAATGATTCCCTCTTGAAAATTCCTCATGCCATGGCACCCAAATTCACAATTTTAAGATCAATTCCAAAACCAATATTAAAATCAATATCTCAACCCATGCATCTACCCATTCTCTTCATTTCCAAATTCCTAAATATTTCACCAACCATGAAAAATAAATTACCTCTAACTATACTTGAGAACAACAACCTCGGCAATGTCTTTTCCTCTGGTGAGAATTTGTCAGACAAAGGAAGGCCTAATAAATAAATATTGAGAGAAACTTTAAATTCCATCCCCATTATTCTTTTAATGATCAAAATTTAAGCTTAAGAAGACAATTTACTTTGGATTTAGTCTAGTATGGCTAGATCTCTAGATCTATGTCCCCCTTACAGGCGAGAGGAAGAAGATGATCCTGTTTCCCAAAAACAAAAAAAGAATTGAAACTGCCAACATTAATCTGTTTTGGGTTTTCACAAAAGGAAAATATTAACACTTAGTCCCTAAGCTTGAACTATAAGGTTTTAGTTCCTAAGTTCTCATCTCATTAAAATTTAACCCAAAATTTAATTCTATCATATATACATCCACTAAGGGCTTTAAATAAATCATTTACATTTAAATATATATATATATATATATAACCTTTGGTATTACAGCAAATGGGTCAAGCCCATTGACCCAATGGGACAACCCATTATGGACCCGTGATTAGCCAGGTTCTCTTAATGGTTCATTAACAAGTCACAAGTCATGAATATTTGACCTTAACCTGTTTTAAATGGGCTAGTAATGGGCGAGTCAATGGGTCGACTAAAAAATTGTTAAGTCTAATGGTAACTACTCTAGTGTTAGCATTGCTTAATTTTCAAGAGATTCATAATTGTAACTGATGCGTCTAATAGTGGTATTAGTGCTATATTGATGCAGAATCATCATCCTATAGCTTTCTTAAGTAAAGCTTTAGCTCTTAAGCACCAGTAGCTGTGGGCACCTTTCGAATATTATCAAACAATTTAAATTTTCGACCCAACTTTTTTAATTTTGATTTGAATATTTCAAATATTCGGATAAAACTAAAATAATTGAAATTAATTTCAATTTGGATATGCTTATTGACCTACATTCAAAATTTCTGATACGAGCGACTAAATTATCAAAAAAAAATTAATATAAATTTATTTTATTTTTTTATTTTGGTTTTTGTGCTATATGAAATTTTTTTGGACAAAATTCTTTTTTGGTTAAAATTTATAGATAGGAATATAAAGAAAAAGACTATAAATAATCAAATTAGAAAGAAAAAGATTTTAATGTCAAAAAGCAAAGAATAATGGTATATTTTAGCTATTTGGGTTAATTAATTGAATTATCCGAATAAATTTGGATAACCAAAATGATAACCAAATTAAAAGTTTGGTTTGGATTGGGTATAAAAGTTTTATTCAAAATTTTTTTGAACAACCAAGAATTTGGTATGGTTCGATCAATTCAAACTAAATGCCCAAACCTAAGTACAAGGGTCTATCAGTTTGTGAGAACGAATTATTGGCTGTAGTGATGACACTCACTAAGAGGAGGCTATATTTAGCAGTGAGAAGGCATTTTGTTGTCAAAACAGAACATCACAGTCTTTAAAATTTGCTTGAGCAACGAATAGTGACACCCACACAATAGAAGTGGCTATATAAGCTCTCAAGCTATCACTTTAAGATTAAGTATAAATGGGAGATGAAAATCATGTAGTTAATGCTTTTTCAAGAGTAACTAGTGATGATATTACTTTAATAGCCTTTTCTATGATTTATATTAATTTACTGAATGATATTCAAACTTCTTGGCTTATTAATCCTAAGCTTCAGAAAATTATTAAAGAGTTGCAGCACAATATGGCACTACGCAATACATATTCCTGTATGGATAGTTCTAAGGAAGAAAGGCAAACTAACGGTGGGCAATGATTTGAAACTTAGACATAGACTTACACATATGGTGCATTCTGAGGCTATCGGAAGCCATTTTGAGATGATTGTCAAACCAAAAGACTTGCATCTCTGGTTTACTGGAAGGGGATGAAGAAGGATGTATAGAATTTATCAAATCTTGCCAAAAATGTCAATTACATAAGTATGAGCCAGTACACCCAACTAGACTTTTGCAGCCACTCCCTATTCCTCACAAAGTTTAGCAGGAGGTCTCAATGAATTTTATTAATGGTCTATATTATTCACATGGTAATACAATGATTATGGTGATTGTCGACCAATTAAGTAAATATGACCCCTTTATACCACTGAAATGACTAGGCCAAAACCCACCACTAGCCCAACAATTCTTTAGGCCAAGCTCCATGAGCTCTCAAAAGCTCAAATTCAAGTAATTAGTAGTAATAAGCCTCCTTACTCTTAAGAAGTAGAATCATAACTCATTTCTATAAGTAGACACAAGAAAGAAAATTACTAATGTATTAAATGAATTCATATACATATATATATATATATATATTTATAGAGGAGGGATCTACTTACGTACAAGTCTTATATATCATATTTATATCAAATCTCTCTACTTTTAATGATTGAAATTTATTCACATTTATTAAAGATAATTATTTTTTATTTAAAAAGTCATAATAAAGTTCAATCATTAAAAATGAAGAGATGAACGGTTGAAATTTTGTATAATTACAGTGTGTAAGACTTGGTACAAAAGTGGATTCCTACTCATATATATATATATATATGAAGTTAGTGCTTATCTTTCTTGGTTTATGTCAACAACCAAGAAATTGATGCCAAGTCTCCTTCTGGTACTAACAACCAAGAAAATGGAATGAAAAGTTTATCGAGCCAAGGGGAATTTAGTATCGTAGCACAATTTGTGCAAACACAAGACAAATCAAGATCAAGTCGTGCAGGAGTCTATCCACCACTCTATAATGCCACATCTACATTTGTGCATCATATGACAAAGCAGAGCAAAGTCAAGGAAGCATCCAAAACATGTCTAAACTATATTTCCAATGTTTGTTCTGCATATAATGGCTGTTAACATAAATTCATCAATTGCAAGTGTTGATTCTTAAGAGCCCAAAATTGTTAAGAAAGCACTTGAAATGCCACACTAGGTCGATGCTATGAAAGAAAAACTAGATGCACTTGAAAGAAACAACACCTAGACCTTAGTGTGATTACACCCTTAACACAAATTAACATTGTTGGCTCAAAGTGGGTGTTTAAATCTAAGTTAAATCAAGATGGAAAAGTAGATAGGTTCAAGACACGATTAATAGCAAAAGAGTTCTCTAAGATACCAGGGGTAAACTTTGATGAGACATTTAGTCCTATCCTCAAACCAAAAACACTAGGCTAATTTTTAGCATCTAATATACATCTGTATATATGCTGATGCTTTTGTACAGAATGAATCAAGTGAAATACAATTCAATAATATTTCTGAAACTCTTTCTCTTCCTTTGAATTTCTTGTGTTTGGTCTTCTTCCATGTTAGATAAAAATATGTGAACATTTCACCAACAAGAATTTGGTTAAGTTGATACCCATTAACTTAAAAATCTTTGATTAAGGATCAAATTCATAGATTCAAACTTTTACGATAGTAGGCAACTAACTTTTTGATATATAAATATATATAAATTAATATTTATTGATCTTATTTCCTAAAAATTAAAAGGAAAATTACTCTTTCAATAAAGCATTATGAGAAATGATTAAAAATACTTTAATTCATATTTAAAAAAAAAAGATATTTAAGTCTTTTTAGTAAAAGTTTATTAAAATGACTTAATTTTTAAATAATTTTCTTTTTAATTTTTAGAAAGTAAAATAGATAGATACTTATTCTTATATATATATATATATATGTATACATTTCTGGATATTGTTTATTAAAATAAATTACTATACTTGTAATTAAACAAATTGAAATGGAAAATATTCACCTAGAAAAGAAATAAAGAAAATGAAATTACGTTTCCACTTTAATCCCAAAATATCAAGACAATTACTGAAACTTGATCAATGATTGATCCATAAAATCCACTATTAACAACTAGAAATGAATTTTTGTACAGTTTTTCCATTTGAGAGAACCAGCGATGATTACGATCCAACTAAAAACACAGAAAAAGTACAATCAAATTATTCCCCTTTCATACATCCCAACACTGCAACACGGCCTGTGCTTATGAAAAGAATAAGAACACATAATAAATTCTACAATATCTTTAGCCCAAGCCTTCTTTGTCAGTTTTAAAAGAATAAAAAAGCAAAAAAATAAAAAAATAAATAAACCCAGAGTGTCTGAAGCAGAGATGCATGTGTTTCTTTGCTGCCATCCAATCATGTAATCTTTTTGTGGTCCCCTCAAAGTTGGATTAAAACATATCACGTGAATGCTTCAGACACACCCACAAACTCCTAATTTCCACACACACCAACAAAATCATCACCTAGCTAGCAACCTAAAAGAATATTTGGTCTTTAAGACAAAGAGCTTTTATCTTAACCAGTAACTCAAACTCAAACATTAAGAAGCTGCTCCTCCTCGGAAGATGGCTTGACATCAGCCGCCGCTAGCGGTGGTAGTGAGGGGCCATTTTCCCTCTTCTTCATGCTTTGTTGGTGATGATACACTTGGGTTAGTCGTTCAATTTCTCTCTTCAGTGCTTCTTGATGAGCTGCAATGATTTATATGTAATTAAGAATATATATAATTTCCTCAATTAAGCCCTAATCCTAAGTCTAACCCACATGCAAACCACATATATTTATTAATCCACAATATTTAAAAATATAAAACATGCATGTTACTTTGAATCTGGAAAAAAATAAGTCTAAACCCTAGGCCTGCATAAGGTTTATGACCCTCTTAAACTTTGTTTAATTAGCTTCAGTTGTCTTTTATCTTTATGCTCCAAACCAAGTACGCAAATTTAGATCTAAATTTGCAATAGACATTTTTTCATAATTTTATCTAACAATTATATATCTGAGAAACCATAAGAAACATCATAATTGGTCTGACTCTTCTTTTTTTTTCCATCCATGTTTAGATATTGTCTGATTAAACATTTAATTTAATTTATCGACCAGACCCACTAGCAACTTACCTTCACAAGCCCTTTACCTCTTGAACCAGAACTTACCTTCACAAGCTCCCACATGATGATACTCATATATAATATCTTACAGCACTATTTTTTTCTAACACTACAAAAATATCTTCAAAAAAATGAGAAATAAATTAAACCCATGAGCTCCTTTATTATTCAAATGGTATTGAATTATAAAATAAAAATTATTTTATATTATAAGTTATTAAATAATTAAAGTTATATAATCTAAAATAATTTAAATTACATAATACTTTTTTTATAATATTTATATAATTTATACATTATTAAGGGCTTACCATCTTTGAATATTTTATCCTGAGCGAGCGCAGCGATTCTTTGCTTTAGAGCACTATTGTCCACGTTAAGAAGCAAACGTTGATGGTCCAGAAATGCAATTCGTGGTGATAGCACGGAGACTTCCGCCTTAATCCGTAACAAAAGTAATGAGAGAAAAGAATTACTCAAATAGTGTTGTCCAAATGTACTTTGCTAATTAAGCCTTTTTACATACATATAGATACCCATTTATCTACCTGTAGTGTAGTGACACTGCGTTCAAGTTCTGATATATATTGCAGCTTCCTCACCCGTGATCTTTGAGCAGACTGTCTGTTTGCCAAGATTCTAACATTTGCAAACAAAAATAATTATGAACATCAAGTATAACCAAGAAATTAAAATATATAAATACAAAAAAAGTATCTTCAATATTAATTATTTTAAATTATAAAATACGAACTCTTCCATAAGAAAGACCTTTTTTAGTTTGAATTGTTTTAAATTGTAAAACAATAAACTTATAAATACATATAAATATGAGTTGCATGAATATACACCTCTTGACCCTCTTAGGATCAGTTATCCGGTCGCCGGAGGCGGTGGCATTAGCGTTAGGGGCGGCTTGTTGCTCCTCCGTTTTGCATTGGCTTTCTACCTCCTCTGACTCATTCCTTACTTGTTCATCGTGCTTCTGATCTGAGGGTGCATCTTTCTCGTCATTAATGCTGTTGTGATCGGACGGCGAGGAGGGGTTGGAGGACGACATCGTGGGGGCCACTGCATTTGGCACATCATCCGTGAACATGGACATGAACTGTTCGTCATCGAATTTATCAAACTCATGGCCGGACGACGACCCCCGTGCTCCGCCCGATCCACGACATTCATCCTCCAGCACTGGCGCCTCGAGAAATGCGATGGAGTCACTTATCGAACGCCGGTGAGTCCCACGTCTTGCCGAAGAGAAGTCAAGGAATTCGTCCACCCACGAAGGGTTTTGTGACGTTGCTGTAGTAGTGTTGTTAGCTTGTTGTTGCTTCACCACCATCGAAGAAGGCATCTTTTGGTGATGGAAATCAGGCCAATTTGGCACCACGTTAGGGATTTTCGGAGGCAACTGTGCCATGAAAATTTTGAATAATTAATACTTCTATCTCCTGAAATGAAACCCCCCTAATCAACAGTACTACTAAGAATTAACATATACAGCAAGCAAACCCAGAAAAAAAACTTATACTAAACGGAGAAAATTAAGCAGTTGAAATTGGAGAAGAAAAGGAAGAATAAGAATAAGGGAACAAGAAAATGAAGTTAGTTATGTAGAAAAGAAGATGGAGAGAGAATGACAAGAATGTTAGAAATTAATTAAGAACAAGAAAAAGATGATGATGATCATCTGTTTGGCAAAAGGCGAAGAGAGGAAGAAGGTGGGAAATTAAATCTGGAGTAGTGGTGGGGTCACATGGGGATGGGGAGAGGGATTTGGGACAGCTATGAAACAGCTGGGAGGAGGTTGGGACTCAACGGTATTACTGGAAAGTCGCCAGTAGTTTAATAACTAAGCGGGAATCAGTCACCACGTGCCCTTGTGACCTCCCTTTTCTCACAATCCTTATTATACTCTCCTTTTTTTTGTTTTATATTCTTGGCAAAGTTCATCTGCTTCTGCCCCCACATGAGCTTTCGAATCTCTTATTCGAGTGTGTTTGTTTTGAAAATATTAGTTATAATATTATATGATATTATAAATTTATATATAATATAATATGTTATTATATAGATTTTTTTAATTTATATTTTAAATGTACAGATTAAGAATATCTTTTTAGTATTAATTATTATTAAAAAATAAAAATTAATATTTATTTAATTAATTATCTAATTAAAATAATTTATGTGACATAAATGATAAAATCAACATCTATTTTTGTCATTTTTAATATTAATGTTAACAAGACGCAAATTCAAAAAAAATCCATTATATAATTGTATTATTTTATTTAAAAATTTAATTATAATATTATATATATTCACTTATTTAATATTATATATTTTTATTTGATATCGTATCATTCATAAGCTTGCAGTCCTATACGTAGCATGTAAATATAACATTTTTCTATTTGTTTCAGTAAGGTCTACAAATTAAACTATCTTTTTCTGATATATATATATATAAAGAAAAAAAAAATAGTCTGCAAAACCTTCATGCAGTTCTTTTTGGCTCAGTTACAATTTAAAAGCTATCATGAAATGCATATTTGAAGATAATTATGAAATTTTCAATAGATTACAACGAAAGGGGCCAATTAAAGGAGAGAGAAAAAAATTAGTAAATCCTAGAATTTTTTAGTAAATAAATTTAAAGAATAATACATATCAATTTTAACTTTTATGAAAAATTAGAATTTCAGCTAATATTTGATTTAATATTTTATTAATGTAGATTATACATATAAATTTTTAAGTTGATCTAATATTTATTATCATATGATAAAAAAATTTATATTTTTTAATATATATTTAACATTTCTACATTTTCTATAATTAATAAACTAATTATATATATTTAATTGGAAAAAATATTTGTCAACAATAATTATAACAAATTAAGTGAAAAAATACCCCAAACTATTTTGTTTTAATAAAATCCTATTAAAAAAACTAAAATATTCTAGTTTTTAAATAAGATCACGTACTGAGGTTGTTTTAGATTTTTTTTCATAATGTTTTATTAAAACAAGATAATTTTAACTATCTTTTTAACCTAATTTTTTGTACAAGTCCAGTTAATAAGAACTAATATCTATTTAATTAATTTGAAAATTAATATACATGATTTATATAATTAGAAAACTAAATCTTGCTAACTATTAGTTTTTAAAAATATTTATTGGAGAATGATCTTTTTAAAGTTAGAACTCCAATTTTTTTAAAAATTGAAACTAATATGCACTATTCTCATAAATTTAACTAATTTCTAAGTTTTCATTCACCTTTCCCCCCCTCATTTTATGATGTATTGAAGGTAGAAAAAAAGGAGTTTAATTTTTTTCTTTTTTCTGAATTCTACAATGATAAACTTTCTACTATCTTATTACTCACCATACTTACAAGCATAAATTCAAATTCAAAATCTCTTATTAAAAAAAATAAAAACAAAACTCTAAACCGCACAGGTATTGATTTCAAAAGGGTACTCTGCTACCGAATCATCAGTTTTCAACTCGGTTAATTAGTGCCATGTGTGGTTGACCTATCTTCGAAGTTTAAGGTTTTGAATTTTGATGATTATTTTTGGGTTGACGAATGACACAGATCATTTTTGAAAAGTTTGGACTTCTTGTTTTCTTATTTTTCACTAAACTTACTCCTTCTTTCTCAAAATAATAAATGTTTTTTCACTTAGAATTTGTCTTAAAATAATAGTAATTTTTTTACATTTTAAAAGAGAAAAATATTTTTTTTTGTTTTAATCTTATAATTATCTCTTAATTTTAATTATCTATCCTATCATAAAAAAAAAAAGAAGAAAAATCTCTTTATTTTTGTTTCCTTTTTAAGAATAAAATAGGCAAAAATAAAAAATGTCTCCAAATCCTTCATTTTGAAATAAAAGTAAAAAATGTCAATTATTTTGGGATAGAGAAAGTAGTTTATATAATATTCTAATTAATATAGCTGCAGAGTTAGGAATTAATGTTAAAAGACACAAAATAATATGTTTAAAACTAAACCTATGACATTAATAATAGATAATTTTACTTATAAAATATATAGACAATTAAGTACATAGAGTTATGAAATATTATTGATTTCATATGCAATTGCTATAAAAGAGCAAACAAACCTAAGAAGACTACCATCGTGCGTCCAAAGCACCTAAGAATTCCCATCTAATACTCTAGGTCGTGGGGGCAGAAAGATTAGTCAAAAACCCCATCCCCAATCATGTCGTTGACAGCCAAAGCAGTATCTCAATTCTAATCAACGACAACGCCTCCAAGGAGTTCAGTATCAATAAATTGTGAGAGGAGGATCCTTTATCATCATTTCTGGATCTTTGATTGCAGCAGAGGACCTAAATGGCATCATTTTGTCAACCATGAATGGTTGCTTATTTTAAGGAGTAAAGGTTGGGCATGGGAATCTTAGCATCTCCCAACTATAAGTTGCAGATGACACAATCTTTAATCAGAAGGGCGATAGAGGAGAATATTTAGACAACCAAGTGTGTTATGAGATTGTTTAAATTGGTCTCCAGGCTGAACATAAATTATGGGAGGAGTTCTGTGATAAGGATCAGTGTTGATAAATAGTAGCTAAACAAGATTGCTTATATGCTTAACTGTGAAGTATGAGCTCTACCTTCTTAAATATAGATTTTTCTATCTTGCGTACTTTAAAAGTGCAATAAATGCATATTTTCATAATTAATTTTTATTAAAACTATAAATGTTGACTTTGATAATTAACCATTTAAAATCATTCACATGTCAGTGATGTGAAAACATATGTCAACTTTTATAATTTTTAATGTGAATTAATTACAAAAAATGCATTTATTAGACATAGGTTAGACAAACCCTTTAAATATTTGGGTGTCCCAAGCGAGGCTAAATCAAAGGGAATTGCGATTTGGAAACTTCTTATTGAAGGAGTGAAATTGGATTCTTGGAAGGGTTGCTATGTGTCTAGGGGTAGAAGAATTATCTACCCTCTAGCTAGTCAATTTTTCTCATGCCCATTGTTGTCTACCTAAAAGTGTTATTTGTTTGATTCATGTTTATTTAATAGGCCCTTCTTGGTAAATGGTGGGGAGGATGGTTAGGGAGGGAGATGGATTATGGAAGAGGGTTATAAGGGAGAATTACGGTAGTCTGGGTGAGAATTGGTTTAGGTGGGTGTCACGCCCCAGAACCTAAATCCGAGCGTAACAAATGCCGTGCACTTGTGAGAAAGTCCCACAAATGCACAAGGCTCGAAACTTATCCAATTCACATCTGACAATCCAATAACTTATATAATATATTTCAAATTAATTCTATGTCCAACACTTAAGCTCAAAATCTCAAGGTAAAATCTATCTTACAAAAGCATGATTTATTTCTAAAATCTATATCAATCTCGAAATGGCTGGCCTTCTAACTCGTCACTTCCCGTGGTTTCCCCGTCCTTGGTTTCGCTTCCTGAAATGGTGGACAAGGAAAAACTATGAGATAAACTCAGTAAATAAAATATGGAGTGCCCCTTATTAAACTTATAGCATGCCAACAAGTGTAATCATGAAAAACAGATACAGTACGAAAATGAAATAGATGTCTCCTCTATAGGTCATGGCCAGTGTTATAAACCACCCACTGACAGGCGTCAGTAATTACCAATGTATTCGCCCATCAGCAGGCGCACTATTTGCTGGTGTATAACCCCCACTAGCAGGATCACTCGAATGAACCAGTTCTATCAATAACATGTCAACATATACTACTGTTTAAACCCCACTAGCAGGGTCACTAATAACATGACCACATCGGAGACAAAACAGGCAGAAGTTAACAGAAAAATCATAATTCACCAATCACTTTCAAATCATCAGGATAATCAATTAAATTTCAAGTAGGCATGCTCAATTTAATGAAAAGCATAAAAATTTCACTTCAAATCAGTCATACTTACTTTTGCATAAAACGAGTTTAGTCCCGCTACCATTTCAAAAACAAGTCAAAACATGCTTTTAAAAATTGTACGGGCATTATCATAAATTTACTTACCTCAAATCGCATAAAGCAGAAAACTCACTCCAAGAGCTAGGGTGATAAAATAATCAAGAACCTAGCCAAATTATTTCAGAATTAATACCGCACTACCACAAATTCAAAGTAAAAACTTCATTAGGATCACCTCTAATCACGATGCTATTTTTATTAATCTCCACATGACCGGACATCTCTAAATTTATTATTATATTACAAACTAAACATTTAAATCCCCATTAATTGTTGGCCATCAGTTCGTGAACAGTGCCCGTAAACAGTAACTTCCAAAATTGGCAAAACAATAGCAAATCACGGGGTTTTCTCAAAAAATCACAGCAACCAAAATAAGCTAATTTTCTACATGAATTAAGCTAAATCATGGTCTAATTACTATCAAATTTCTCCCCTATTTCCAGCAGATTTTCGAACACACAAGGCAGCAAATAATTGGACAAATTCGGGGCTTGGAGGGGCTGTCAACATACCAGAATTTTCCAGCAAAAACCGGAGCTGCAGTTGGGGGAGGCCGGCGGCAGTGTAGGGGAAGCTCACGGGGCTACCAAAAATTGGGAGAACCAAGAGGAATTAAAGTTAACCCAAGCCAATTCAAGGAAGAGCAGAAGATTTAATGACTGTTGCTTACCAAAAAATCAAAGGAATTTGCACCCACAAACCGGCAAGAGCAGCAACCGGACGGACAGAGCAGAGCCGATCCGGATATTCTCTGCAGGGGGGGAACGTTTCTGGGTTCTAGATGTGTTCTAGAGCAAGAAAAGAAGGAGAAATCCCCAAGCTTTTACCGGTTTTCTCAAGGGAGTGCTGTCGGCTTGGCTGGGTTTCCTTGCCGGTTGCAGGGAAGAAGAAGAAAAGCAGAACGCGCGGGCTGAAGAAGAAAGAAAGAAGGAGAAAAATCAGCCCGTCCTTATCCAAAATTTTCCTCTTTTAAGTGCCTCCAGTTTGGATGTTTTAGCTAATAAGCCTCAAAATAATATTTTCTCACAATCAAATCCCTAACTTAAATGATAAAATTCCCAAAATTTTGGGATATTACAGTGGGCATGCGAGGGTAGTGAGATAATGAGGTACGTTCTTCTTGGTAGAGGGATATCAAATATATAGACAAGGATGTTGGTAATTATTCAAGGTGGCTCAATAGGCATTTCTTAGCGAAGTTGGGGGATAGGAAAGAAATAGAATTATATTTTGGGGTGTTCAAGGACCTCATCAAAGCAATTTGGTGGGTTTTTGTGTATGTTTTACTCTAAGGCAAAGGGAGATGCTGTTGTGAGAGGAAGAAGGTGGTTTCTCAATCGAGGTGAGAGATTATTGGAGTCAATTGAAGCTACCATGCTGTTGGGCGTCTTACAGAAGTGCAACCAATGCTTAAGAGGTAGAAGGATAGTTAAGATTTGAAATTCATTGCTAGTTATCCTTTATTAATTGTATCTATTATTCAAGCTATACTTTGTAGCTTATAGGAAGTATTAGTCGTAATAAATGAGAATTATATACTATTAGGGTGCCTTTATATGAAGGTCGAGAATGTTTGTAATTGATTTATCTCTTTTATTTATTTTTTTCTCAAAAAAGGGATATATTAATAATAGAAAGATTACAATGTCTTCATGACTTGCTATATAAGCAATACATAAAAACAATGAAGCATGACTTACAGCACAGGTTATAATTATAAGGGTGCTTTTATAGGAAGTGTTAGTCGTAATAAATGAGAATTATATACTATTAGGGTGCCTTTATATGAAGGTCGAGAATGTTTGTAATTGATTTATCTCTTTTATTTATTTTTTCTCAAAAAAAGGGATATATTAATAATAGAAAGATTGTACAATGTCTTCGTGACTTGCTATATAGGCAATACATAAAAACAATGAAGCATGACTTACAACACAAGTTATAATTATAAGGGTGCCTTTATATGGAGGTCAAGAATGTTTGTAATTGATTTATCTCTTTTATTTTTTTTTTCTAAAAAAAGGATATATTAATAATAGAAGGATTACAATGTATTCATGGCTTGCCATATAGGCGATACATAAAAACAATGAAGCATAACTTATAGCACAAATTATAATAATGCCTTAGACTAATTTATTTATTGTGTTTAAAGGGATAAAAATTAAATGTTTACATGAATATTGTACTGTACCCAAACTCAAGCTTGAAATATGATAATTAAGCCTCTTTCTAGCATAATTGCCCTAGATAGAAGAAACTAGCATGTGAGTATAAGGGTAACAATGAGGCTACATGGTGTAGAAATGATACTTCCTGAGCTTCTTCAGCAATTGGATAGTCTCACTTGTTAGATAACTTCACGAAGAACTAGCTGTTTGGTAGTACAACAGTTCCTTTCCACTATTATAATGCTTGAATCCCACTTTGATAGAGAATTGTGAGTGAATTTGATATATAAGTGTGAAAACCAACAATGACTAACAATTTGAGTTTGAGTTTTTGAGATCCCATGGAATTGGCTCAAAAAAATGTTGAGCTAGTGATGACCGTCTTTAACCTGAGTCATTTCATCCTACATCACTTGAGGTAGTGGAGGCTAATCCCAAAAATTGTATCTTTTTTTTTTTCTTTTTTATTTTTTTTACGGTTGCTTTAAAGCCCCACAGCCCGCTGCAACCCCTACTAATGCCACAATCGCCTACCAGTCGCAAAGCGTTTTTTTTTTTTTTTTTTTCTCTGTTCTAGGTTTCAATCGGCTAAAGGAAAATAATGACAGGGAATTACAATTGCAATTCAAACATAAGGAAAATAAGGAAAAGAATCGACGAAAAAGGAACAGGAGGGATGTATCACAAGAGAAGAGGAGACTTAAAGGGCGGGACTTGCCGCATGGCTAGGGTTTTTCACTACCATGTGCAAGAGTCAAAAATTATTTATCTTTTTTATTAAAATCAAATCAGAGGTCATTTTTCTAAAAATAAATAAATAAATAAATCCTTGTAACATGAGGTTCTAAGTTTACGCATTAGTTATTTTAGCTTTTTTACGATGATTTAATGATTTTAAACCACAAAATAAAACTAACAAAATGATATAAAGTTTGTCCAAATCTAAAACCTCTAAATTAATTTTGATTATTTTGGGACGTGATAAAGAGATAAATTTTTAAAAATTCTCTAATATCTACATGGATTTTTTTTTTTTTAATGATCAAATGAGATGAATCTTGTATAATACAAAGATTGTATAATACATAGATTGGGATTGAGTTATTAGATGATATATATATATATATATAACAAAATTCACTTATATACAAGTTTTATGTACTTTATAGTTATATAAAATCTTAACTATTCATCTTTTCACTTTTAATAGTTGAAATTTATTTATGTTTGCTAAAGATAATTATTGCTTTTATCTAAAAAGTTGTAATAAATTTTAACCATTCAAAATGAAGAAATGAATAGTTGATTTTATATAACTATGGTGTGTAAAACTTACATGTAAATATATCCCTTCTTATATATATAGGCAAAAGTATTTTGTAGGTAGTCCTCCTAAATTTTTTTTTGAAAGACAAGTCTAAAAACTAATCTTCTAATTAATATTTTTAAAAACCAACCATTTGAATTAAAAGTTCTATTTATATAGGCCATGCATACCAATTTTCAAATTGTTTTAATAAGCCTAATTATATGTCCGTGAGTTTCTTTAATTGAAAGATTATAAGTGTTAGTTCAATATAAAAATTAATGTATATGATCTATATGAATAAAATTTTTAATCCAATGGTCAATTTTAGAAAATATTAATTAAATAATATATAATCCATTGTAATTGTTCTTTCCATTTTTAACTTTTTGCATCCTCTCCATTTCCTTCTACCTTTCCAATTCTTTTTTTTATTTTCATATATTTTTGTTTCTATATTATCCAATTACTTTTATTTGATCTACTTTTTTTTTCTTTGCAAATTATTAAGCTTGATATCATTTAATGAGGTGACTTCTAGTACTAATTTTGATTTATGTTTTTAATTTTCTTGTATTTTTATAAAATCTTAAAAAATATAACTTTACTAACAATGTGCGTGTGTATTTTTTTTACAAAATTTTATACTCAAAATATCTCACTATAAGTAAATTATTTGTCATTTTTCTTATTTTTTTCATTATTCTCATAATATTTGAATGATATTCTTGTTTTTCAATTTTTTTTGGTAGATTTATATATACACACATATATATTGTACTTTGGTTAATTTATTTATAATTTAATTATTAACAATAGAATTACTTTTTTGAAAATTTTTTTTAAATCCAATATAAACATATGTGACAATTATTGCTGTCGATTATATAGATTTTTTTGTTAATTACATGACTATGACTTTTTATAAACTAGTTGAAGAAACAATAATATAACTGATAAAACAACTATCTGTTGATTATAAACATAATTGACAGGAACTTTTTATTGATTATAAAAATAACAAACAACAATTAGTTGTTAATTACATTTATAATCGCCAAAAATGTATGTTGATAATTATATCCATAACCGACAAGTTGTTGTCAATTATAATATTTTAAATTATTAATATAGTTTCTGGGTGCCTTATTTAATTGATAGAGTTTTTGTTCGATTGTACTTATTTTTTACATATGTTTTATTTAACAATGGTGGCGATTAGTTATACTATAATCAACAAAATTCCCTTTATAATTGACAAAATTGTCTATCAATTAAGTCTTCACTCTTTAGTAGAGATAAGTGGAAGGAAGATAATTTTAACCAAACAAATTAAAACACTAACCTAACAACTTGATTTGATTGATTGAACTTATCTCTTCTTCTCTTCTCTCAAACCAAATAAGACGTTATTAGTAGTAAGAGAGAGAGAGAATATTTTTTATTATTTTTTGAGTTTAATACTTATTCAATTAAGATCAATGAAAATTTTAATATTTTAATTATTATGCCAAAAAGGGTATTATGGACGTTCCAAAAGGACCTAATACACCCAAAATCACGAAAAATGCACATAATCACTTTCTACTTTGAATATCTGTACAAAAACTTACCAAATAATAAAAATGTGCTTATAAACTGTAATATCCCAAAATTTTGGATATTTTAGCATTTAGATAGGGGCTTAATTATAAGAAAATAATATTATTGAGCCTAATCATCAAATTTTCAAAGTTCAGGGACTTAAAAGAGAAAAAAATTTGGATAAGGATCAGCTCTTTTTTTTCCTTCTTTCTTCCCCAACCATTTCGCCTTTCTGCTCTTCTTTTTCTTCTCCCTGCACCGAACAACAAGAAGCCCAGCCACCAACGCACCTCCCTTTGAAAAACCGGTAAAATAGCTTGGTTTTGCCTTTCTTTTCTTGTTCAAGAACAAGACTTAAGCTTAGAAACCTCCCCCCTGCAGAGAAATTCCAGATCTGCTCTGCTCTGTTCCTCACTGTCGGCTGCTCTTGCTTGTGGGTGCGAATTTCTCTGATTTTTCGGTAAGAACAGCCATTAATCCATCTTTTTTCCTTGAATTGGCTTTGGTTTACTCTAAATCCTCTTGGTTCTTCCAATTTTTCGGTAGATTTCTTGATTTTTCCCCTGCACTTCCGCCGGCCTTCACCCAAACTGCAGCTCCGGTTTTTGCTGCTAAATTCTGGTATGTGACAGCCCTTTTAAGCCTAAAATTATCCATTAGTTGCTGAATTTAGTCCATGAATTACTGCCCCATGTGCTGTCCGAATTTTGTTGAATTAGGGGGATGAATTCCGGTAGCTTTAGGACAAAATTAAGCATTAATTCAAGTGGAATTTATGTGATTGAGTGTTAATTAACTGCTGTGAGATTTTGGAGAGAAATCCCATGAGATTAGTTATAGTTTTGCCAATTTTTGGAAGGTGCAGTTACTGTTTACGGGTACTGTTCACGCACTAATGGCCAACAATAGGAGGGTTTAAATGTTAGTTATACTGAGAATGAAATTGAGATGTTTGGTCATATGGTTGAATTTCGTGTGAAGCTCATGGTTAGTAAATTTGTAAGATTGTGCTAATAATTCTAGTAGGGTCTGAATGTATTTATTTGGAATATTATGTGCTGTCATGGCTTAGAGCACTGGGATTGAGTCCTCGGTTTATATGAGTGAATTTCTATGTAATGCTATTGAGGTAAGTAAATTATGGTAACGTATTTCAAAGTATATTTTAAATTGTTTTTGAGATGGTGGCAAGCAAAGTTTTAAAAACCGACCCGGAGGTCAAATCGTTTTGACCTCTAGTTCTCGGTTTAGCCGGTTTAATTGGTTTAATCACTCAAACCGCCAGCTCAATCCAAATAAATAAATATAATGTTATGTAGTACTTTGACAAAACAGGTGCGGTGGTTCAA